AGATTTATTGTTCACCTTTGTGAGCTTGAAAAATGTATGGATGGATGCATACCTTAAAGCAGAGCTAGACCGTACACTGACAGAGAATACAAAGGTTTCTTTTTCTCACTCTATTGTGGTTGCATAAGTTAGGATGAAAGACTATAAAAATATTGATCATGTTGTAACTTAGTATAGGAATGGCACATCATTAGGTTTTCAGTAGCTGAGTACCTGCGATTTTTTTCTCCTTTGTACACCATTTTAAAAATAATTTCAAAACGAGTGGTAAGCCAATCGAGGTGGCTTGAAATAAAGATGCAATTTTAAAGGAGAAGACAGAATGGTTTTAAAAGATTAAGAAAAGTTAAGCAAATATATATTTACAGGATATTAATACTACTATCTCCTCTCATTATGTCTTCTATGTACCCTGTATTAATACTATACAGTACACTATGTATACTATGATCTGATATATACTATAGTCATAAATTCTTTAGTGCTTTGCAACGTTGGTGGCTAACATCACATATGACACGCCAGAGAGCAAAGAGAATAACACGGAAATGCTTCCAGTACTCAGTGAGCTAATTTTCTTCCACAATGGTCTCCATTTTCACCAGGCCATGAAATTTCTTTTTCTAGGTCAATTTACTATAATTCAATTTGCTATGAGAGTCAATTTAGCATGGATTTTTTAGCTTTTGAGTCCTGGGAATCTATAATTGTTATATATTTTAAATGCTTAAACATTTCGCATACATTCAACACTTAAAAAGTGAAACATAAAACTTTTAACTATATTAACTATCAGGAAATTTCTACATTGGGACAAAAGTGAGGCTACATAGTATTTTTTCTGGTTTGTTTTTAATAACTTTTACAATTAAATTTGTAAGCAATTTATTTTGTTCCCAGAAGGAAAAAAGTAAACATTACAATCATGATAATTCCTAATTCTTTCTCTAGAAATATTTATAAACTACAAGTAAGCATAGCTTCTGCTATGATTATTATGCTAAGAGAGTTATTATGTCCATGGTACAACTGAAAGAAGAGAGAAACTGAATATCATTCTGAGACAATACAAATGAACAGGGTCATTAACCCATCATGAGAGTATTAAGAATTTTTCATAAACAGGGAAAGTCTGAACGACTCATTTTGCAATCGTTGCTTTCTATTTCTTAATTGTTCTAAAATATTGTATTAAAGTCTGAAGTAGTTTTGTCATGCAATGAAAAAATATATAATGCTTCACCCTAAAAAGGAATTTTCCAAAGTAGTTTCACATTAAAGAGTTTTGCAACTAGGAACACATGGATAGATGTCAATTTTGGCAGTTTGTAAAATTTAATCATTGTCTAATGAACCAGCTAATTTGTACACTTGCTGTCACAGTGATAATACATTCAGATAATAATAGCTATACATGAAAAAATGAATATATATTTGAAGATATTTAATTGTATTCTAGAGTTGTTGTGAATTTCACGAAAAAAGTGTATTCATGCTGTTACAAATCCATAATGTTTGAGAGGGCTTTCTTTAAAGTATTGAAGTACAAAAAAGAAACACTGAATATTTGATATTGATAGATTTTTGTTTTAAATCATTTTATCTATATGATTGTTTGACTTGTATGGTTTTTTTGCATAATATGAGGTGTGTGTGTGTGTGTGTGTGTTTGTGTGTGTGTGTGTGTGCCTTTACCTATAGAGGCCAGAATAGTACAACAGATCACCTGAAACTGACATTACAAACTGTTTTGATCTGTAATGTGTCATGCGGGTACTGGAAATGGAATTTAGTCCTCCGGAAAAGCAGTAAGTGCTCTTTACTGTTGAGCTATCTCTGCCGCCCATGTTTGATACTTTTAAAAATTAATTGTATTAGATTGATGGCATCTAAGAGTACACTACTTTGAAAATGGTGCATATCTCGTTTTGAACATAAAAATGGTATTTCTTACCAAATTTCCAGTGTTTATAATTTGAATGTTTCTCACCTTAAAAACTTGAGTAAGTACAGAAAATACTACCTGTCTCCTGTATCCAAGATGTTGGTGTTAACGTGAGCTTGAACTCATGAATAAAACTTTTAATATTTTCTTAAAACTAATTAAACTGAGTAGTTTTCTTCTGTACTTAACAAGTAATGTTTTTGGTTTATTTTAAGAAATGTATCTTTGAAGTTCCTTAAAACAATAATATATCTTAAGTCCCTAGAGGCCTTGTGTCTTCCATTTTATTAGAATCTTGAAATTCTCCATGGAGCATCTGGTAAAATAATGCCAATGCTTAATGCTTCCAAAACTGACGCAGAATAGTTTTCAAGAAGATTCGTGTCTAGTGAGTGGTGCTTACCACATGGGATTCTGCACTCCTCGGTTCCTAGGATCACATATCAAACACCAGTTCCACAGACCTTCTGGGTAGAGCTCTTCCTTGAGTGTTTTCCAACAAGAATCAAATGTGATCTGTTTCACGTTGTCAATCACTAGTACTGAAATGCTCCTGCCAACCAGGATGCTTTCCTGAATATAACAATTGTAAGTTTTTTTTAAACCTTTTTGCTCATTATAACCTTATAAATGATCAAAGTCTACTCCTTTGAATGATTAAAGGGTAGAGGTCGCAGGGTAATAAAGCCAGAAGACAGTACAAACTGGAACCCAGTAACCTGGACATATCAAACCATCCCTTTTTGACATTCCCATTTGTTATAGTCTTCCTGACACAGAGCTGAAGGGAGGGTTATAGTATTAGAGGGTCACCTTTTGATACTCACTACAGCTTAAATGATAGGAGTATGCACAGACTTTCTGCCTTCCCTAATGGCTTAAACTCATGGTGGGCAACTACTTTAGCAATAATAAAATTATTCTCCTATCCTCTTCCTTTCAGATCCTACTTGCAGTTTTATTACGGACTTGTCACACCTTAATTTTGAGAACCTTATGGAGAAAGGTGAGCAGAATGGGTCATTAGCTAAAAGGCAAGGGTTGGCTTATAAAAAGTTGCCGCAAAGGAAGCAGTCTTCAGAAAGGGCAAAGGGCATCCATATAGGTCTTGCCTCTCACCTTTGCCTCAGTCTTTTGTGATTGCAAGCTTCTATTGTGCAGTATCTCACAAAGCCGACCTATTTACCTTGTGACTGATACAACACACCAGAACTCTTCCATCATTTGCTAATTTGGTCCAATTAAAAACTGGTCATAGCGAGGAAAAAATACGAATTAAACTCGCTTAGAATAATTTGTCTTGCTCATTTAAAGCTGGTCTTCTAAAGCTCGTGGTATTGGTTTATATTAAGTGATTCTTCCTAACCACTTTATGTCACATTTTTGAATGAAATACATTTCCTCTTCTTTCTCCTTAAGACTATTGTTGGAATTTTAAAAGACGTTTGCTAAGATTTCCTGTTATTTTTAATTAGAAAAATTCCTCTTCACAGCTACACTATCCTTTACAAAGTAGACAAACTATTTGTCCCCCACTTACATGTTTGCCTTTTCGTTTTATCGTTACAATGGTAAGATAAATATTACTATCATCTTTGTTTTTCAATTGAGAAACTTTCAGAGTAAAACGCTTAAGTAAACTACTACAAAAGCATTATGAAACCAAAGAGACAGGGGATTTGAACCCGATCTCAGTGCCTGTACCGTCACTCCCAGTGCTACATGAGAAGTGGACGTGATATATGTAAACGTTCTGAAGAAAAACAACAACAAAGTGATTTCTTTTCCCCCTTCACTTCTAAATCTTCCCCAAGTTCTTGGAGGCAGGTAGGTGTTCAGCGCCCTATACTTAGCCTCTCCCACGCCCTCTGTAATCTCTCCTTTTTGCGGCTGGGAGCGTTAAAGATTGCTACTGCAGCTGGTGAGTGGGTAGGTGCAGCCACCATCTGCTCTAGGAGTCCAACTGCTCAGAAGAACTTCGCACCCAGGACCATGCCCAGGCACATCGGATTCCAGAACCTGGGGGTGTGGGATGGGATGGTGCTGAGGGCGGTGTGTGTGTGGGGGGGGTGGAATACAGCTAACCCCGCCCCCTCGCCGAGGCGATTGGCTGGATTCTTCTCCAGGGCTCAGCATCTGTTCCTGAATAGGGCTGTCTTCCCTGTAAGTTAGCACGTGGCCACCTCTAAGGAGGTGATGCCAGTCCTGAGTGCGTGAAAGGGGGCTTCAGAGCTTCCTGCCCGAAGGGTCCTTGAGAAGCCTGTTTGTTTTTCCCGGCGCTGGTCTCCTCCCACCCTTCTCTGTCATTGGCCCGGTATGGTGGGTGGAAGTTTTCCCATTGGTCAGGGGGCGGAGCCTATCCCTGGCCAGGGTAGGGGCGGGGCCTTCGCCGAGCTGAGCTTGCCCTTGTGTCTGGTGCTCGCTAGAGCTGCTGCTGCTGCCGCCGCCGCCGCCGCCTCCGTCGCCGCTGCCGCCGCCACTGCTGCTGCTGCAGCCGGAGCATCCGGGAGCCGCCGCCGCTGCTGCCACCGCTACCACGCGCTGCTACCACTGCTGCCGCCTCTTCTTCCAGGACTCTGACACCCGAGCGCGAGCGGCGGTGCTGCCAGCTTGCTGCCCCTGTCCCCCACCCCTCCCTTCTGTGACCTACCCACTCCTTGCAGCCCTCGCCTTGCACCTTCCCCGACACCCCGGCATCTCTGCATCACCTGCCTGAGCAGCCTCCGGGCGGGCTCTGGGACTTGCCGCGAGCTCCGAAAGGAAGGCAAGCTCCAAAGCGGTGCCCGGCAGATCGGTTGTCGGGGCTGCACCACCAGCAGCAGAAGGAGAAGAAACTATTTAGCCCACCGAAACCCCATTCTGCGGGTGCTCTGCCACTGCCGCTTTTGCTGCCGGCAACCAGCTTCCGCGCGGGTTCGAACACCGCAGCGGTGGTATCGTGGGTCCTGCGGGAGCCGGGAGGACGACACCAGAGGAGCCCTTGCACTGTGTGGTTCTCACAACCAACACCTTCTTGCCCCCACGATCCTTCCCCAGACCCTTAAAAGAAGGGACCATGATTTGGAAACGCAGCGCGGTTCTCCGCTTCTACAGTGTCTGCGGGCTCCTGTTACAAGGTAATCCCCGCCCCGCTGTGGGGAGCATCGCTTCACGCCCATTCCCCATCCTCCCCATTCCACCCCGTATTTCTACTCTCCCCTGGCAATCCCCCAGTGCCCGGCGGTTTCCAGTCCCTCCCCCTCCGCCCCGGTGCTGCAGGGGGCAGTGGCAGTTTGCACCAGCCGTAGCTTCTCCAGCGCTGGCTCAGCCCAGCTCTGGTAGCATAGCAGGCAGCTCCTTACGCGGCACCTTTCGCCTTTTCATTCACCTGAGCTGCCTTCATTCCACCCCACTCGATCCCCGCCAGCATCCCCCTCCCACTCCCGGTGGCTGGCAACTTGTGCCTGTCTCCACATTCCATTCTCCCATTCTCCCACCAACCCTCGCCAGCCACCTCCCACATCACGCTCTTAAGCGACCCTTTCCACCTCTTGTCATCTCTTTAACCTCCTCCCCTTTTAGGGTCGCTTTCCTCTTTCCCTTCTTTCCACCAGCATCTCATCCATGTGTCTTTAAAAAAGTGTGTGAGAGCCTGGAAGCGAGCTACCGCGACGGCAAGAACAGCAGCAGCGGCGGCACCGTGTGCATTGCAATAACATCCCGGGGGGTGGGGGTGTTGTGAGACGTGTCATTCACCTAGGAAGAGAAGGGAGACTCTGTCTGGTCTAGAGAGAGGAGAGCGAGCAAGCGAACGGAAGAGAGAGAGAGAGAGAGAGAGAGAGAGAGAGAGAGAGAGAGAGAGAGAGAGAG